GCGCTGCCGCGCTTCCCAAGCGGCGCACTGTAGCAGTGCGCCACCGGGCCGGCCCTATTTTGGTCATTTTATAAAAGATAAATTTGTTTTTTATGTGAAAAGGAGTGTTTGCTTTTTTTTTCTGGTCTGTATGTGGGATCCGACCCCTCGGCGGGAGCGCTCCCGCGCTTCCCAAGCGGCGCACTGTAGCAGTGCGCCACCGGGCTGGCCCTGTTTTGGTCATTTTATAAAAGATAAATTTGTTGTTTATGTGAAAAGGAGTGTTTGCTTTTTTTTTCCTCTTTTTTAAAAAAAGAAATACAGTCTCTACCTGAAAAGATGATAGAAAGTAAGGGATTTCAAGTATTTATTCAATGTGACCTGAAGGAACATCAAGAGACCATATAAGTTCCTTTGTCGTCTTGAAATTTCATTGCAATGACTATTTCTTATGATATATAAGCCAAGGCTTGAAGTGCAAAACCTATTTGTTAGAGACATTTCTTGTAACTGGATTTGACTCATAGTTAACTTTGTTTTTACATAGTTAATTATTAATGTACGTGCTTTTTTCTTTATTTCTTTCTCTGGTTATTAAAAATAATGTAGTCTCACTGTAGAAATATTCCAAAAATATAGAAAATATAAACAGTAAAGTCAAACATCCAAAATCCCACCACCCAGGGCAAACAACTGTTAACATCTGCAGAGCATCTAAACACTGATAGTCTTTCTTAGATGAGATCATATGACACATGCTGTTCTCTAAGCAACTTGATCATGCAACAGTGCGGTGTCACCTAGCTCCATGCGAGTGAATATAGAGCTGTGTTACCATTTCTTATGACTACATGGCTTTCCATTGCCCACATCCAAGATTGTTAAACATGTTGAGGAAGTGGGGCAGGGGCAGGGAGGTAGTAAAAACATGTGAAATGGGGTGGATTCCAGTTTACACATCTTCCCAGCACTTCTGGCTCCACTGAGAAGTGCTGCTATGGCTCAGCCGCTGATAGTACAACGTGTTTCTAAATCTTCGGGGATATTGAGGCAGAAAAATGATCTGAAAATATGATGGCGGTGTTCCGTAACTTATTTAACTAATTCTCTACTGATAGGCAGCTAAATTGTTTTTTCCAATTTTTAGCCAATATAAACAATGCTAACATGAACACCCTTGGGCATGCACATTTGTGCATTTGTCTGATTATCTCCTTAGGAAAAGTCCCTAGAGGTGGATTCACTTATTTAAAACTACAAAGAAAGCAAAATATCCTCCGTAATATCACCTCTTCAATTATGTGATAATTTCTTTGTATGCCTTTTCCCTCCTCCTCTCACTTTCCCACCTTCCGCTCTCCTTTCCCTCCTCCTTCTGTTACCTCTGTGTAAGAGGGTTGGATAGCATGGTCTTTCAGTCACTCAGCGGTGGCTGGGAATTTAAGGAATTCATAACTTTGCTGCCTCACATCAGTGGCCTGTGGCTGAAACCTTCTCCCTCAGGCTTCTAAGCTCACTGCAGTTGGACTCCCGAGTCCCTTTCCGACCTAGGACCCTGACCTAATGTCCTCATAACTGAGCTGCTGAGGGGATATGTTGGCCCTACCTGCAGGCACCCTCTGGGCCCGATCCCTGAAAGGAGCCAGCTAACTGGCAGGGAAGGACACAGTTGGACCCGGCTCCTAGGTCTGCAAGTTTGGAGCACACATCTAGTCAGGGTTGTGTTGATGGACATGTGCTTGATGCAGGTTTGTCTTCAAGGAGTAAACAAACTCTTGGACATTAAAAGCATCTTATCCACAGATTTGTTTCCATTCTTCTTCCAGGCTTTAGGTGACCTTGGCAGGTGTGTTTGCTGGTTTTCTCACCCTGCTTAGATAATAAGACTTGAGGAAAACTCAGGAGGAGGTATTCTCAGTTTATGAAGGAAGAACAATGCAGCCGTTTTGGGCTTGTCAATATTGGAAACAAAAATGCACATCTAGACATGGCCCTGCCCTTAGCTGGGAACACAGAACTGATGCTTCTAAAACAAGAGCTGTGATAGTAGTGTTACCAAGTTCCTAACCTGCAGTCAGCTTCATGCTCAAGGATGCTGGAGCATGACCAGCTGGGGCTAGAGCTGACGTCAGTCCATACCCCATAGGACATTGCTCCACGCTGTCTTTTTGCCAGTCCTAATATGTGTGACTGAGCCGAAGTTGGCCTGCCACGTTGAAATAGAAATGAAAATTAAACATGCATTCTCAAGGTCAGATTTAACACCAAGAGATCAATAGTTCATTTTCTGAAATTGTGAAGTAGGTTCTTTTACTTAATGACCTCTGAAGGAAGAAAAATTGAATGCTTTTTTGAGATTTATGCATCTGTAGCAGATCTGGAAGATTTTTAGAAAGTATATATCACACTGTATTCTCTAAGGGAAGGATAAACCAGCCCGCCCCCAAAACAACTAATGATATATTTTTTTCAAGTGTGTAAACTGTCCTCAGTATCTAATACTATAAAGCTAGATGACCAAGATCAGTTTAGAACACAGACAAATGTTTTACTGATAATCTAAAATGAAAAGTTAACTTTAAATAAAAATTACCTCCATATTTTTACTTTTGGCCAGGTCAAAAGTTAGGGGAAAATGACATTATCAAACCATTATATGGACTGTTGCAACTTCTTTAAAAATACAAATGACCTCTCCATTAAATGGAGAATTATTTCCTTTTTCTGAAAGTCTTTTTTTTATTCTGAAAATAACATTGACTTATTGTATAAAAATGTAACTTGAAGTACTTTAAAAATACAAATGACCTCTCCATTAAATGGAGAATTATTTCCTTTTTCTGAAAGTCTTATTTTTATTCTGAAAATAACATTGACTTATTGTATAAAAATGTAACTTGAAGTAAAAAAAAAAAAAACCAAATCCCTCATTACTCAGAAGTATTAAAAATATTTTATCTTTTCTTTTAGGATTTTTAAATCTATGCATCCATCCTTTTTACATATTGAGATTGTGCTAACAAATACCATTTTGTGTTCTGCCTTTTTCTTTGAATGCTATAACATATCTTTTCCCATGGTTTAGAAGAATTTAAATACCCAAGTAATTTTTCAATAAACCTAAATAACAATATATTTGTCATTTTGTATATTTGAATTTATGTATAAGTGTGATTTAAATATATCAACAGTGGGATTAAAATATAACACAATGGGATTTTTAAAAAAGAACCTTCTATTATTAATAACCCAAATGCAGAACTGATTAATTCTTTTTTAAAAAAACCCTTCTTCAAATGTTAGAGTTTTTTATTCAGTCAGAATCATCTGCATTTCATCAGCTACACATTGCATGGTATTTACACCTACACATCTCTTTATTTGCTTTGCCTGACAAAATGAAAAGTATTGGGAATTGTTCAGGGAAATGTGCCAAAAGAATCTCAGGGGCTCTTGAGTTTTACATATTTTCCCCGTTACACTAATGAAAAGGAATTTTGTTTGAGAACTTGACTTGGAGAGCAACCGCAGGGCAATCGAATGTGTACTCAGTGTCCATTGAGCCTTCACTGATCTCTATGCAGAAGTTTCTAGAATTTCTCTGAATTGCTTGGACAGGGCAGTTAAAAAAGAAGCCCAAACTAGTCTATGAATGGACTGAATTTCACATTAAAGAAAAATTAAAGTTATTTACATTATTTTATCTTTTTTTTTTTTCTGCAGACTGCCAAATACCTGTTTTTTGGTTTTTTTTAATGCTTCAACCCATTATTTTGGTATAATGTGAAAATAACTTTTACTAACTTTTCTAAGATTTTGCCTTTCTGCCCTGGGTAACTATTTAAGTATCTGTGAGTTTTTCTTTTGTTTGCACTACTTGCAGAATAGAACAGTGGTATTTAGAGGAAGCGATTACCCTTGACTGAGGTAAACAGTTGCATATTGGTTTCTTCTAAATACCTTTGTTCTATGTAACTATTTACCTCAGTCAAGAGTAATGGGAGACACAGCCAAATGGACATAGGGTTTATTGCTAGATAAAATACTTTTTTTTCCCCCCCCTTTTTGTCTTTTTTACTGACCGGTAACGGGATCGCAACCCTCGGTGTTGTGCCCGCACCGCGCTCAGCCAGTGAGCGGGAACCAGTCTCCACATGGGATCCAAACCCTCGGCGGGAGCGCCGCCGCACTCCCTAGCGGCGCACTCTCCAGTGCGCCACCGGGCCAGCCCGAGATAAAATACTTTTTTAAAATTTCCAAATCATAAAGATGCCTGTGATGAATGATATCTATAATTCATATGCTATTTGAGCCTGTAGTTTTGGAGTGCATGGTTAGGCCCATGGCTGATGGCAATGTTGTTGTTCAGCGAGATTCTGGATTTTGAGAATGGTTTGGTTTTACGACTTCTTTCTGTGTAAGCAATTTCTTTGACCTTTGAGTAAATGGTAAACTTCTTTCAGATTGTGTCCAAATTGTCACAGAGTACTTTGACAAGGCTTTACTATAGTTGACAATAAATCATATTTATCTCAGAAAAGGCTCTGGCACAGTGCCTGGCACGTCGTCAGAAAGCTTATTATACTATTGGAAAAGCTCTATAATAATCATATAATAAATGCTGTGGGCATCTCTGGGAGAGAGTAGGTAATTCTGCTTAGAGAAGCTGAGGAAGGTAATGAACAAAAATCAGGATTCCATCTCCATAAATTCTAAGCTCTTATAGAAAAAGAAATTAAATTAACTTGGCACTCGTGTTTTTCTAAGTCAGATTGATGATTTGGAATATGAGCTAAGGATACTGGAGAAAAAAATTAAACCACATTTTGACACCAAACACAGGAATGGGGTGAAATAAAATTTTATTCTAGCTTCCCTTTCATTGCTCCCAGTAAATACTTCCTACTTCCTGATTTTCCTGAATTGTATTAGCTGGCAGAAAGCTGAGCAGTCCTGTGTTTCTAATTAAGAATTGGATGGTTAGCTCAAGTTTTGAGGAGGTCATCTCTGGGCGTGTCTGCTCTTGGCTGTCTCCAGCAGCTATGCTAGCATATCCTTGGGAATGAAAATGTAATCCTTCATGTGACACTGTTTAAGTAAACCACTTATTCCTTTGCAAACATTAAATGCTCAGTTCAGTACTTAAACTACACTTTATTTGAGACTCTGTTTTCTTTACAGGCTGTTGTAAGATTGTGATGCCTGTGGGCTTTTAACTGCTTTTATTCATGTGGTATCTAAGAAAGTAGAAAGTTGACTCAAAGTCTAAACACCTTTGTGTAACTTTGAGTCTTCACGTTGACCTCGCTCCATAATTTGCTATTTAGACAGTTGCAGAGGTGACTGCTACGTCAGTGTCATGTGGCTTGAAGAGTGGGAAGTTTATTGCACCGGAGGGTGTCGGGTGGGCTCACCGACTGCCCACTCTCAGTCCTGACCCCTCTTCAAACCTGGGCAGCATTTGACTCCCTCCATCTCCAAACACTCTCCTCCTTGGCCTCCTTCCAAGACTCCCTTGTCACGTCCTGCCTCCTTCTCCAGGTTCTTTTACTTTAAATGGCCCCTTCATGGTTTCCTTTTGGTCTTTCTTCTGACTTCCTTAAAAGAAAATGTATTTAACTGTTCTGTCCTTATGTTTTTCGCACTCCGCGAACTCTCCCTTCTCTTTCTTTAAATAGCTAATTACAGTTAAGCCTTTCAATCACAGAACTAACCTAGCAAAGTCAGGTGACTTCTTCATGGGTTTGATTCCCAGCTCTATTGCTTACTAGTTGTGTAACTTTGAGCAAGTTATCTGAACTCTCTGTGCCTCGGTTTCCTTGTCTATCAAATGTGAATACAAATAATTAACCCAATAAATCTAAGGCACCGTACCTTCCCTATTAACTGCCCCAACCAACCCTCAATTTTATTTAGCTAACAGTTATTCCTTTTGTCAGGACTGAGCTTAGATGCTGTTTCCTACAGGAAGCCTTCCCTGATGTTCCAAATCTAATTAGATCCTCCTTCCATGTGTTCTCATGATACAGTATAATTGCCCTATTTTCCCATCTTAGAGTTCATCTTGTTTATTGTAATTGCTGATTTATCCATATCTCCCATCAGCTAGAAGCTCTGTGAAGGCAGAGGTGGAGTCTATCTTGATCGTCATTGTGTCCCCAGGGTCTATCTAGTGCAGTGCCTGGCACATAGTAGTTGATATGTATTTGCTGAATGGTGATTGATTGTACTGCAGGGGTGGGCTGAGATAGCTGGGGATGGTGATGTATCCGAAGGCATTATTTCTTTGTGCTTGCAGCACTGGATTTTGTAGGCGAGAAGACTCTGTCATCAGATTTGTTGTGGTTGAGTATCCTAGACAACAGCTCACGCCATCCAACTCATAGAAGACCAAACTGTAAGCACACATGACAGTTTTTTAAAATTTGAACGGTGGTTTTAGTGTGCTAAGGAACCATTTTATGGGGCCTTACTTGGGAATATAATAGGCTCACTTCCTGTTATTAATACCGTGATGTCGTTATGAACGTGTGAATGTTTGGTTTTATCGTCAACAGTAAGCTCCTCCAGAGCAGAGGTTATCTCCTTAGTGTGCAGAGGGGCCTTGGACTTCTTTTCAGATATTTGAAGGGCTTTTATATGGAGAGGGATTAGACTTTGTGTGTAGGACTCCAAGAGATAGGAAGCAACAGGAATGCAGACGTCTCCTCTGTAGAACAAAGAACTTTCTGACTGTAAAAGCTGCCTGGAAATGAGTGGGCCACCCTGGAGATAATAAGCTCCTTCACTGTCTGTGTTCAAGCATGGCAGTGACAAGCCCTGGGTGAAGTATGAGAGGGGACTTCAGAGTCCCTTCTTTTATTTATTTATTAGCATATTCATTGCTGCAAATTATACTTATTCTTTATGCCCCTTATCCAATCTCTCCCCTTCCCCCTTCTCCTCCCCCCTTTTCCCTCCCCCCATTCTCTCCCCTTCCTTTCCTCCCCCTCCCCTAATAACAGTAGATTCATTCTCTCCATCTGATAGATTAACTGTTCCTCTGTTGGTTTGTTGCCTAGATGATCTGTCCGGTACTGAGAAAGGTGTGATCAAGTCCTCCCGTATTATCATAAACCATATGCTTTTTCTATTACTCTGGAGTGTGCTTTGTGGAGAGAAAGGACCTCTTTTTTTTTTTTTTTTTTTTTTTTTTT